TCGTCGACCTCTTATAATCAATTACTGCAGTTCTTTTTCTAGCTTCATAAAGAACTGATCAGAACAGCCGACGTGCAAATTCTTAGGAGTCATATGACCTAGCCAATACTAGTCAGAGTACCTTACATGATGCTATTTAGCCGTTAGGTCGCCTATGAATTTCAGTTAAGTACTATAGAGAAGAAGTGGAGACTCTCAACAAAGGTGGCGGTGTTTTCGCTCTGTGAAACCGTAGTCAAAAGAAGAATGTTCCAATGGTTATTCGTCTGGAGGAAGGCGCTCGAAAAGACTTCACTAACCAAGAAGGTTGAACGTGTCCAAATGGCGGCTTCATCAACTGCGGAATACTCCAACCAGAGCACTTAATGTCCTTTAAAAAAAAAGCACTCTTGCCATTGGCGGCACTTACACATATTGCTGCGAGGTGGGCTCGAAGACTCAGGGAAGCTAGACATATGAGGAGTTCCAAATGCCGAAATTCTCTTCTCCCTCAACTGCTCCCCCTACGGGTAGGGGGGACCCGTCCAGGGCGGGGGGAAACCGAATATACCCGCGGCAAGGCATGCCTGTCATAAGAGCCGACTATAAGCCATATGCACTATGTCGGGCTTTAGAGACCATGTTTTGATGTCAACAAGGTCTAAGTCAGATAAGTGCTATAATATTCAGCTGGAAATCAAATTCTAAGCTTTATATTTATATCTCAAAATATAAGGCATTTGTCACAGCTACAAATGCAACCAGTCATTGAGTTTATACGGGAACTCAACTGGAAGTAGCAAATAGTTACAAAGTCAGACCAAAGACTATAACCTAGTACCACGGGCAGCAGTAAGCCCTTGGAGGTAACTCCAATCTGCTCATTGGGTTTGGCCCTTTGGGGAGATTCGTGGTGGCTGTGGTTTATACCTAAATGCAGGAAGCGCATTTTGTCCAATGTGGAGTCGCACTGCGGCCAGGTGCCGGACCCAAAGTACGGCAGAGGTTTTAGATGGGCCTCGTACCCGACCAAGGTGACTAGGGTGACCCTATCCACCCGGACCAAGGATTAAATGCAAAATGCATTTATGCTTYRGGGCGCTGATCAAYGCATTGTATTGATCTACGTGCTTCTAGCAATAGAAAGCACCGTGGAGTTTAGTCTTTCATAGACAGGTATTCACGTTAAAACACATTGACTCTCTCCCTCAACTGCATTCCGAAATCCTTGAATCATTATGTCACAGAGGCCATAATGGCCTTTTCTCTGCTCACATACCGACGAGGGTTATGTGAATATGGAGAAGCCGCTGGAGAAGAGGCGCAGTGAACTCTTTCACAGATGGAATGAAGCTAGGAGAGGAAGGTTGGAGTGAATGATCCTTCAGTCTTAGCTTTATACTCCCGGAATACTTTAGTGTTTCTCAGGCAAAAGTGGCCGTAGACGTACTTCTACGAAGTGCGACCTCTTTCAGAGAGATGGGCATTCACTACGACAGCAGAGTGGTAGAATTAGCGATGATCTCGCAAACTGTGCACTTGTCAATTAGTGTCTGTCCTTTCTAGAAATTACATTAAGCTGCTTCATCGTCCGACTCGTTTTGGGTGCTTGGTCACAATGGAATGAGCTAGCCGGAGTCTCCCTCTGCCCTTGCCGCGTTCACATCGGAATTGAACCGAGTTGGACCTCGCTTGGCGTCTTGCGTTCCAGCACTGGATCAATATTCTCCCAAATTGCTAGGCCGAATAAAAATTTTCGGACATCCGAATGTCGTACGAACGGTATTGTAACCAATGGACATCGCCTGTTGGCAAGCTTTTTAAATACGCTAAAAGGTTCAAAAATTTTATAGAAATCTAAAAAAGTTTAAATTTTTCCTTGTGAATGGTTCTACATTCATTGCCATTTCAAAATCTCTTCACAGTTGACGAAATTAAAATTTTATTCCAGCAAATTTAAATCTTTCTTCAATTTTGGGAAACCCTGTATTTTATTCCAATCTTAGGTTTATTTTTGGACATCCAAAGGGTATCGAACTCAGCGCAAACGACTCTCCCAGACTTGACCCATACCAAATGGTGTTGTTTACATTAAAACTTGACTTGTATACTCCGCCACATAATTATTTATTTAAATATTTTGGCTTAAGATGTTAATTATTTAGCGCTTTCAGCCAGCTAATAAAGGGTCACTCATCTCTCTACTTGTTCAAAAAAAAACACAGAAACTTCAAATTTAATGGGGAAGATTTATTATCATTCGAAAGAACATTTTTAGCATTCATTTTTTGAAGACTATCTCTTTTAAATGTGGGCAGCGGCTACGTCTCAGATGGTCGATCCGCTGAGCTGAATTTTCTATGACTCGTTCGAGCATTTCGACTGGTAACTGGCGAATGACACACGTGATGTTTTGTTCCAAGGCCTGAATCAAAGTAGATTTGACCACATAGATTTTAGACTTTACATATCCTCATAAGAAAAAGTCTAACGGTTTGATATCACACGAATCTTGGTGGACAATCGACCGGTCCAAAACGTGAAATTATCTGCTCATCAAAGAGTTCTTTTAAAAAATCAATCGATTCATGCGATGTGCGCAAAGTGGCGTCGTCTTGTTGAAACCGAATATCGCGCAGAGCACGAGCTTCAACTTCAGGCATCAATTAGTCAGTTCTTTTTTTACCGGTTTTATTTACGATTACGTACTGAGCGACATTATTTTTGAAGAAATAGGGACCGATAATTCCACCGGCCTACTTGAATTTCTGTAATATGGTTGAGCGATTTATATACGTGGTTCAGGCGTAATGTCCAACAATAGTGCACAAAATTAAAATTACAGCTTAACACAACTCACGCGTGATCTGTCAAAAAAGAGGCTACTGAAAGTATCTTTACTTGGTTCACCCGTTATTACTCGTCTTTTTAGGTAGACTTTTAGCCTGCTCCATGAATCCAATGACTCAAAATAAACACTAAAGTCGCCAAAAAATATTTAAGCATTTAAATGTAGCGCAACGGTCGCAGTACACATACTCATACGAGTACAATGTGTGTCAATAGAGCATTAAATTATGCAAATTGAAAGGAAACAAATTCTTTACAGTTTATGGCATTTTATTGCTTCCTCCATGTGCGCCATAGTATATTTTTCTAAACAGTCAGCTCGCAAGCAAATCTCAGCCATTGAAATCTGCAGACCATATTTTGAAAAACCGCATACACACATACACCCACACACATGTGCTCGCTGAAAAATAATTGACATCTCGTGCGAAGCGACGCCAAAGCGAAACAAAACCGCTGGGCTGCGCATACAAAGCACTGCATTAGCGTGTGAATACGTGAGTAATTAGCACTCAGCATTTGCACGTACAAATTATGACAAGTACAGTAAAAAAGCGACATTTTATGCTCAAATGCGTACATACTTGTATATACGAGGTGTAATAGATAGATAACAAAACTGACGCTCGAAAATATTTGAACTTCGAGGTACTCATACATACATACATACCTATATAGTTACTCGATTTCAGATGAAGGGACTTCAGCCTTCTAAAGGTCAAGATGTTAAAGAAGTTTCTGCTATTAGTTCTTGCGACAGCCGTTTTGTAAATGTTTTTTAAAACCGCAGATGGAAGAACGGAGTTTTCCTGAAATGTGTCTTTGACGTTCATCTCTTATACGAAATGCAAAATCTACTTTTCCTAAAACAACATGTTAAGCGCTTGGATTCTGCCTGAATTAACTGTGGTCTAATTCTTATCTATTCTGAACTTCCTTCATAAGTATGTATCAGATGAATAAAAGTTTGATATCTGAATCTGTCAAAGGCGGTATATTCGGAAAAGAAGTGCCGATCGGCGAATGTCAAATTAGTGCTCTTATAACTATTAGAGGGTAAACTTCAGCTCGCTAGATCTTTTACGATTTACTCTGGTTCACAAGGATCTTGAAAGCGATGAGAATGAAGTACCGGACTTCGCAAGCTTATCATATAATAGTGAATCGCAAGAAGCCAGCAAAGCTCCTACCCGTTCGACAGCCAGTAAGAATGAAGTACCGGTTTTCGCAAGCTCATTAGCCTTGCAGTATCCTGCAATTCCGCTCTGGCCAAGCAACTAAACCTGTAAAATCATGAATGCTTGAAATAAGGCATCGATACAGCCTTTCACTAATCTTGAGTGTATGATTAAAGAGCTGACGGCTAATATCAGCACCGTACTATCAGAATGTACTATATAGTGACCATTCTGAAAAAGATACCGGAGCAGTAGATCTACAACTAACTTAATGGCAGCCACTTCCACTTGAATTTCAATACACTTTCTTATAACACATAATTACTTTTGTTATCTCAGTGTTTGCACTGAATACTTGGAACCTCTTCTAGTTTTCAATTTTCTTATTTAGTAACTATACCTAGTATACACTTATTTGGTAAATCGCGCTTCCTAAATGCATCATTTCAAGCGCAAATGCTGAACGCTACAAATTGCTGTGTGACCAACACTTGACCGAAAAATGGAGCACATATAGCTCGTCAATATTGCTTCCTGAAGAGCAAATACATTTATGACGTGGCGGCTCATTTTACGAAACTCAGCAAACAACTTCTTTTTTCTTCTCTAACCTTTGAATGAAATGAATTGATGAACAACGTCAACAACGCAACCTCACCACGAAGTTACGCAAAACGCTTAACCGAAAGGTAAACAAAAGGCAAACGGCAACAATCAATTTGTTTGCACATTCAATTTTCAGCTGCCAAAATGTGGCCGCACGAGTAATGACCGAGCTAAGCTGACAATTAACAGTTCGTCATGGCGATTTGTTGGGCGGCGTTAAGCCAAACGGCATGTCTACTGTACGCACAACTGTTGTTGTATTTGTAGATATATTTTCCAATGTACGCAATTAGTTTCGATTTTCAATTTGTAGTGCTGAAAGCAGAAAATGACACCTTTATACCGGGAAACGCCGTAGTTGGCAAACGCTTTGGCAGTTGACGGGAATCAGTCGCATCAAACGGTTTGGCGTACGCAGACACGAAGTCGTAATAGTCGGTGTCTGACAAATGCAGTACGAATTCTGCGTATTTGTTTCGTTACGATTTCTAATTGTTACAAATCGGCAATTCAACAGAAATTTCAGGTGCTAAATCGCACTCGATTATTGCAGACACTTCGCAGCCCGACGACGCTGCCACCCCCACTAGCGGATCGACTTTCATACGCATCTTAGTGAAATGGAGAATGTTGTCTGCTATGCTTTGGCCACGTGGCTGCTGTTGTTGTGGATTTACTTTTTGTGGTCACGTGGACGCTTTTATCGTGTGGCCTGGCAGTTGCCTGGTCCTGTGGGTTTGCCATTCATTGGTTTGGGATTGCAAATGATGCATCCAGAGAGTAAGTATACTTGCTCTTAAGCGGCGTCATAAAAATAAAGTAAAATACATTTGTCGTTTGATATAAATGAGTTTTGCTAAGTAGACTAAATGAAAAATTGTCCTTTTCTCACTATCATAAGCAACTTCGTTAGAGTTTTGGTTCGCATTAAGTTCGATCTGTGACAAAAAATCAAAAACGGTTCCGCGCGGTACTCGTTGTAAAATTCTGTTGGAAAGAAACTTTTTAGTCCAAGTTATTGAACTGTTAAATAATATCCTGAACCTGGTGGTCGACACAAAAATGCAGCAGTTTTTCAAGACTAATCAGGTAGTTCGTTGAGGCAGGATTATTTGGAGAGCAAAGATGGTTTGTAATAGAGTTAACAACAGCGCGTTAGTCGTTTCTTCTTTTCGCAATTTGATGCCAATTACCAATACGAAGTGCAGTCACGTCCTTCTACACCTGATCTCTCCAACGGCTTCCCCCGGCGGGTACTGCGTCGAATACTTTAAGAGTAGGAGTGTTTTCATCAGAGTTCATCGTTCCTTCGAATGCGATATTCGCCGCTGTCAATGCGCAAAGGACCATAAATCTTCCGCAAAATATTACGCTCGAAAACTTGTAACGTCGAATCATCACATGTTATTATCGTCCATGCCTTTGCATCTTACAGCAGGAGCAGAATAATAATGAGTGGCTTATACAGCTTGGTATTTGTTCGTCGAGAGAGGACTGTGCTCTAATTGACTACTCAGCCCGAAATCCAATGCAGAATAACTCTTGCTGACAGGCAAGTGGCTGACATTGTTGTTGGTTTTAATACTGGTTCCAAGATAGACAAAATTATCTACGGCTTCGAAGTTATGACTGTCAACAGTGGTGTAGGAGCTAAGCCGCGAGTATGACGACTGTTTGTTTGATGACAGGAGATCTTTCGTTTCCTTATACAGTCTGACGAAATTAGAACTAACAGCGCGGATGTTGACACCAACGATATCAATATCATCGACGTACGCCAGCAAATCTGATCCGGTAATTCGGAAGTCAAGTTGCACCACGCTCGGGAAGGCAAATCGTAGTGCAAAAACCCAGAATTTTCGACTCATAATTCCGGCCTCTTTTTACGAATAGATTCGTGCAAACGACGCACAGCATTCAAATAGAATTCCATTTTAACAGATTGGCCAGTAGGAAGAAATTCAGAATGCATTACACCTCGATAATCGGAGAAAACTGTCAACACAACCTTGCGTTTTGACATGCTTTGACGTTGATTTTTGATTTTGATTCAGCTTTGTGACGATATTCGGGGGATTGATTGTCTGTTTTCGGGTCGTAAGCATAGATCATGATAACCTGGTAATCATAAAACATAGTTTCACAGACGTTTACGCGACGCTGTTTTTTGAAAAACTAAGTGATTTTGAAACCAGTCGTGCTTTCACTTTTCTCAGGTCCAAATGGTTTTCACTGATCCTTACGATATTCCAACGATGCCAGCAAGATCTCTGACTGTTAATCGTCGATTCTCAACCACCAATTTCCTTATTTTATTGATCATCAGTTTATGTTGATGTCCGTCCTGGACGTCATTTGTAATTGTAATTGTTTCGGCTTAGCGTAACCCTCTTAATATAGATCTCCATTTAATTCAAGCTTTTTAAAATAAATGGTTTAATTTGCGCCGATTTTTGGCAAGTCGAGTTTGGGCTGTGTTTGTCAGTCCAAGATAGAATGCTAGTCCGAACAGCTCGATCGTTATCTTGACTAACGATCACATTTGTACAGTCTAGTTAGAACCGAATTTTGGTTAGATCCTTTGCCAGCTTTCCTGTTCACTTTGGGGTAAAGTCTACGCTCAGATACGCCTGAACCAACTTTTATATTGCCATTCCCAGCAATGCAGCTGAAGATCAGATCTTCAGTGGAGACAGTTTCCGTGACTATATGTATGTCTATGCACTTATTTTAACTATTGTTCTCAATTATTCAGATAGGTGCATTTTTTGAAAGCCGACGGTGACAATAATAAAAGTGTTTTGTATGTAAGTGTAATAAAAATTCTACTTCTCAGAAACATAGAATAAACTTGTCACTAACAAGAGAATAAACATTCAGTGTGTATAACCTCAAGTTTGTCTTTATTCTTAATTTGTTGCATTTCGATAGCTTAAGTCACCTATCTTTCTAACGACTAATAATTAAGCCTCTTGGTTAGTTGACGCTGTCCATCTTAGATTTCTGTAGACTCCCAATTACACAGTCGAGATGGCTCTAAGGAAAATCTGTTTCTATTAGCTTTGAGCCAAAAAAGTCTTCGTTTCTTGCTTAGGAAATGCGCTCGCTCAACTAAGGGAAAGTTGAGAATAATACAACCTTTCACAGACCTACTACCATTAATAAATGCGCTGTATATTGTCGTTTTGGTTTTTATACATCTTTACGATTATTTTCAGCTTTCTTGCAGTATATGGAATACGCATCGAAACGATATACGACACCATTTATTTCATGGATGGGCACAAGTTGTTTTCTTTACGTTAATGACCCGGAAACAGTGGAAACGATTTTCAATTCACCGCACTGCACGAACAAAGGCGAACTCTATCGTTTTCTGGCTGCAGCAATTGGCGACGGCCTCTTCACGTCCAGCTGTGAGTACAAATAAATAAGACATTTACCCCCCACACATGCACATACTCGCATACAGAGTTGCACGTACTAAGTTGAACTAATGGCTAGACCGTGATAACACTTAACCTCTGACGTACGCCTCGGTATATAAACACACACAAACTTTTCGGTAATTTTAACTATTATTTGTGAAATTGACTTGGGTCAGTCGAAGAATGTGTCAAAGTCATGTTCATAATGACCCTCGATACGACAGACGTAAATAAATATGTATATATTTTCTGTTAAGTACTCACAAGTTGTTTTCCCCAAGTCATTTTTCTCACTCTCTTTTAGCGCAACGCTGGAGCAAGCATCGCCGCCTCATCAATCCGGCTTTTAGCCGCCAAATTATCAACAACTTCCTGCCCATTTTCAATGCGGAAGCCGATGTGATGCTGAGCAAATTCACCGCCTTGGCCACGACCGGAACACAGTTGGAAATCTACGAGATGTTGAAACGTAATGTTTTGGAGGCAGCTTGTCGTAAGTGTCGTAATTATGAATAGCAGCTGTGTGGCAACGAAGCGTTTAATATGTTTTCTATTCTCGGTCCCTCATTTGTCTCATTTAATTGTGAAATGAATTGTATAGAGACGACAATGGGTAAACGCATGAATTTCGAAAACGAAGGTTCGGCGCACATCTTCGAGGCCTACAATGGGTAAGCGTTAAAGAAATATAAAAAAAATGTAGCATGAAACGAAGACTGTGCATAAAGTTTGTAAAAGTTTTAAGAAAGTTTAAAGCTTCCAAATCCGAGCTCTTTTGGGTGAGAAACGGAAAGCAAAACGCAAAGATCTGCGGACAATATCTCAGCTTAAACGTAACGGTCCGCATTATACCGGTTATTCAGAGGCTTACAACTTATGGTCTCTACCGACTTCCTGTAGAAAGACGGACGAATTTATAACAGGCGCCCGCCCTTCCTTCTTTTCGCTGTTTGGCGCCAATTGGAGACTACAAGTGTCGCTAAGTCATTTTTCGGACGGAGTTGTCCTTTGACGGGTACTGCAGCGAGCACTCTCCGAGCCGGAGTGTTTTCATCCATTCGGATGGCATAATCTAGCCAGTGTAGCCGCGATATCTTAATTTTCTGAACTACTTGTAAGAACCATTAAACTTCTGCATAACCCTTCTTTCGACAACTCGTTGCATCGACTCATAAGACGTTGTCATCGCCCATGCCTCTGAACCATATAGCAGGACGGGTCTAATGAGTGACTTGTAGGGTTTGCTCTTTGCTCATCGAGAGAGGACTCCATTGCATACTCAATCCGAAGTAGCATCTGTTGGCAACAGTTATTCTGAGTCGGATTTCGAGGCAGACAATGTTGTTGATGCAAATGATGGTTCCAAGATAGAATTGTGCTGGACATTCGTCTACCAGAGTGAATGTCAGGACTCGGCGACGGAGCATCTCTCTTACTACGAATCCTACACCGAATTTGTGTTCCTTTATATGACCACTTGGTAAATATCACAAGCACATACTCGTCTCAGTCCTTGTCCTGTCCAGGCTTTACTCTTACAAGGACAGCTAGACAGCGGTACTTTCCAGTATAAAGGGACCAGACATTCCAGGTGTATGCCCTTAAATCGTAATCCTTAATGCGTTTGCAGTGGTCGTCATCAAAAGAAGGATCTCGTCCGAGGCTGTTGTTTCCTTTTCAATGGAGACGTTTTATAGGGGGCGGGTCAAAAACTCAGCGCAAAACCCTGGGGAGGACTTTCAAACGGATGTCCGAGGCTAATTATTTCAGATTTGGAATGTCGCAGACCCTTAGAAATTTATATATATATATGATCATCATTACGAGCTGAGTTCCTCAGTTTATGAAATATTGTTTTGAAATCTTTTCACCACAAGAAGTTGATCATTTCTAAGTACTGCCATCACTATAGCATATAGCTACCATACAAACTGAACGATCAAAGTCAAGTTTCTACAGGGAAAACTTTTTTATTTTTACGGGTATTACAACATCGGAACCACCCTTAAGGTTTTTTGCAGCAAAATATTCCGCTTTGTCCCACAGTGCTTTTCATGTGCAACCGACAGCTTTGCCGTCTCAATTGTTTCACGCTATTCCGACTCATTTGCCAGTTGTGCTTTCAATGCCGTTTCAAAAGTTTCGCTTTTGTCTGCAATAAATGCACACACACATACCATACACACGCACCCACATGCAGTCGTTTTTCTTTAATTTTATTTCTTTTTCATCATTTCCTTTCACTTAACACTTAACTATCCTCATATGTACATGTGTATGTCCATATGTACATATATAGCATAACCGAGGTTTGTGTGCGCCGCATGCTGTCGCCCTGGCTTTATCCGGATGTGCTCTATCGCCGCTCGTCGCAGTTCGTGCGCCAACAGCAGGTCGTTCAAGCGCTCTTCAGCTTCATTGATAGTGTAAGTTATGCAGACACACACACATATATAGAAACTATTCAAACTGTCACGCTCATTACTCCGCGGCTGGGTGTCAGTCTGTTCATCTCATCAACTGTTAAAGTGATTGTTCCTTTGACGCTTGCGGCTAATTTCTTTTAATTCCGTTTTTATTCTTCCACTTCTTTTTCCCCAGCTCCTGCAGCGCAAAAATAATAAATCAGTTGCAAATGGCATAGGGCAACAACAAGCGCAACAACACGCATCAATGAGTATAAAGAAAAGTGAAAATTGCTCAGAGTCTGCTAATGAGAATGAGTGTATAAGTGGGAGAAAGCGTATAAGTGACAAAGTGTGTATGGATGCGGTAACGGATGTGAATGCGGGTGCTTCAGCGGCCATACGGAAGTCGAAAGCCATATTTGTGGAGCAAGTTCGTATGCATGTGGAGCAAGGTCAACTGTCATGGGAGGATGTACGCGCCGAGGCAAATGTCATCATAGCGGCGGTGAGTAGCAATTATAGCAGTAACTTTGGATTCCGGGAAAATTACTATTTAGAGAACCCTACAACAAAAATGAGATATTTTCGCTTGGTTCCTCTTTTGACTATGTGGAAGCAATGTTGGCTTGAGCAACTTTTCTTCATAATTTACACATATCGGGCATTACTCTAGGTTAGGTTATGCTAAGAGGGATCTCATTTGGACAACTTAGAACGTCGCTCCGTTGTGCTACCTAAAACTCTTGTATAATTGATCATAACACCCTTACAACTCGAAAAAGCGCTTTGAGCTTATCGCAAATTTGTTTCCACCGCCAATATCAGTTTCGTTCCTGGTTCGCTGATGACAAGACTGCCGAGAGATGGTCTTCCACCTAACCCTCCTTCATACAACTTTGACAACTAGCGTCGAACAAGATTTTTAACCTTACCGTATGAGCGACTATTAGACAAAGTCCAGTAAGAAATCGATGGCGGCAATGTAAACTTTGCTAAGTGCAAGTAGTTCAGTAGATCTCCGCTTTAGTATAAGCCAAAAGAATTTTGCAATTTTTGAAGAGCGGGTCGTTGACCTGTTAAGCACACGCGAGGTCCACTGCACCAAGATGACAATGTAGATCTATGTCGGTCACATTCAAATGCAAGCAAGGCGAGAGCCCTTTGGCCAGTTGGCTTTGCTGTTGCCAGCGATTCCGCTATTACCAGGCACCAAAATGAGTTTTATTATGAAGTATATTGATGCTAATTCTAGTGATAACAGGCGCTCTTTTACTAGCTTTGAGTGCACAGATAGGGAACCCAGCGCTGGTATTACTTTGGTGTCGGTGTGAATGCACACCTCTCTGAAAGAGGCTGTACTTCGTAGCAGTACAACTACCGTCACCTTAATACCTTCCACTTATGCTTCAAAAACCCTGTAACTTGAAGCTAAGATTGACGGAAAACTCCTAGCAGAAAATCCACTCCAAGCTTGCTCCCTAGCTTCGGCCCGTCCTTGAGAAAAAATTTCGGCGTGTTCTGCATATACCGGCAATGTCCACGAGTACTATGAGAGTCGGGAAAGCACCACACCCTACGGGATGCTCGACCGTTGACCGAACTGGCTTTGATGTAAGCATGATGGGTCTTCAACAGTTTACCCCTCAGTATTGTACTTCAAATATACAGATCTGTTAGTCTCCCCCACGTTTTCAATAGAAACGGGAACTGACTATTGGGACTCGGCACCATTATGAGAGCTCTTTCCGGCCCTCTGTATAGACCCCTCCGAACTCCAGCCTTCGGAACACGGCTTAATTTCACAAGATGTGACATCAGTGCCCGGGCACTAGAAAGGCTTTGACTTAGTAGTTCTAAACGAAAAATCAGAGTACTCAATTGTATAGCATATTCCGAAACATATATAAAAGTCCAATTTGGTTCAGTTCCATAGACCAACTGTCTTAAAACCAATAACACTTCTAAGCACGATACGTACGAAGCTCACCGCAAAGCCGAAGCGGACCGGGTTTTTTACGACGTGGGAAATTATTTCGGATATAGTTTACGTAGCTTCAACAACAACAACAACAATAACAATAGCTGAGGAACACCGTCAGTTTGATACTGTTACTTTTTCATTTTTTCAAGTAACCTCCACTATCTCCTTTTTCTTTATTTCTACTTCTTAGACCTTCGAAACGACCTCGACAGCGTTATATATCGTTTGCTTGTGTCTCGCCATGCATCCTGAATACCAAGAAAGACTATACGACGAACTCAAAACAATATTCCCAGAAAACGCATCACCAGACGTAGACTATGAGCACCTGGAGCGTATGCCTTACACCGAGATGATTATCAACGAAGCGCTGCGACTATACTCACCCGTACCGATGGTACTACGTAGCGCAGCCGATGACTTTCGTCTACGCAATGGCGTACTTATACCGCGTGGCACACAAATCGGCATCGACATCTACAACATGCAACGCGTTGAACGTATTTGGGGACCACATGCGAAACACTTCAAACCGGAAGCACACTTCGGACCGAATGCGACAAAACGACATGCATTCGCTTTTATACCCTTCACAAAAGGTTTACGCATGTGTATTGGTAATCGTTATGCGCTAATGCTGATGAAGGTGTTCGTGGCGAAAATATTCCGACAATATCGTTTAAAGACCGAGGCAACACTCGATCAGCTGATCGTTAAGGGTACCATATCGTTGAAATTGGCCGAATATCCGTTGTGTCAGCTGGAAGCGCGCAGCAGTTGAAGGATTGGGAGACGGATTCAATAAATAAAAATGAGAAAAAGAGAGGCGAGGAGCGGAAAGCTTGGCGCTCTGAATTTTTTAATTGAAAACAAAAATGTACAAATATGTTTTTTTGGGTTTTTTTAATAATATTATTTATTTATTTTTAATCAAAATTGTTAAAATTGTTGTTATCCGTTATCTGTTTGTTTTTGTTTGTATTCACAAGCTGCTTTTCCTTACGGCTACTCCTACATTTGCGCTTAGCGTTTACTTTCTTACAATATAAATATTTTTCAATTTTGGATTTTCTCTTTTATTTACTTATTTTTTTTTTTTTGTCTTTATTTTTATTTATTTGTTTATTTATTTTTTTCTTTTTTTTGTTTTTGTTCTTAGTGGACTTTTCTGCTTTAGTTTGAGTTTGTTTGCGCCTAATGCACCACAATTGAGGCCCGTGAGTAAGTATTAGTGTGTGTGCACAGTTTTCCAATGTGAATTGCTGTTGTAGATTAACTATTTGTAATTGATAATTTTTACTTGTAAGTTCAATTATTTTTTAATTAAATTTTGTTCGATATTTTTACTGCTAATAATGCCTATTTCGGTAAGTTTCACTACGTTCATTGAATGAATTTTATTTAATTCTCAATTTAATTTAAATTTTTCTTCACTAACACCACTATTTTTTATTAATGTTTTTTTTTTAATAAAATTGAATGAAAATCAATTTTTGCTGGACCAAAGTTCCTTTTTTAAAAAAGTCCATTTTCCTACAGTTTGGTTAAGTGTTTGGTAAATTTGGGTATGTTTACGGTAGTTTGCGCTTAAGTATTTTTATTTATTAAAGTAAAAAAGTTTTCCAGCCTTTCCTGCAGCTTATTTATGTCTATATGCTCACAACTGTACATAATTTATTTTCTATAAAAAATTTTTTCTTTAAAAATACTGTGTACTTAATAACTTACGAATTTAAGTGCTTTAACAAAATCTGTGGATGTAATGTTTTAGAAGAAAAGTTGAGAAGAATTACAAAACAGAACAACAGAAAACACAACCCTAGAACCAACAAATCCACAGCTCGATAATGAAGCTTTTGTTGGCGTTTTTATCATAAAGCTCTTAATGCAACAAAAGCTCTCATTATTTATATCGGCGTAACCCTTCAGCTACCTAAAACCACGAAGTGATGTGTACGGCGCTAGAAGATGCCTTGAAAAACTATTTCCATACAAGTGACTTAAAGATCGACGCACTCAAAAATCCACTCATTTATGTGCCAAGCGCTGATTCCAAGTATAACGGGGATTCAGTGAAGACTGTAACATGCCTGTAAACATAAAAGCTTGCGTGGTGAAAGACACTTGAATGGAGTCACGAATCCGGTAGAAATTGCTTCCGGACAAAAATTATGAATTAAATCAGAAATTTATTCTCTTTCAAATAATGAAGCCGTACATATATCCTTAAACGTTCAAAGCGTCTATTGAAAATGCACAATTTTCGAACAATGTTGAGATTTTCCTACCGCCAACAAGATCGTAGATAGATAGATAGATAGTAAAAATTSAGGGTTTCCAATATCATATGATATCACATATGACCTTGGTCCAGCATCCTGAACTTATTCCAAGAGCCTGAGGGCGCAACGAAGATGATTTAATCCCTGTCCGCGCAGATGGAACCTGAGGTCAATGCTGTTCTCTCCGCACTCTCGCCTCCGCGCATCCGAGCTTCTCCTTAAAAGTGTGGAACCCCACTGCAATGCATGTTGAATTAAAACATGTTAAATTAACTAGTTCGTCGTACAATATCATACCGGGTAAGCTTTTTGGTGTATTAAAACATATCAATAAAATGTTTATACATACTACAGATTAACTCCATATTAAGTTTTCCCAGCACTTTGTGCATCTATCAGTATCTTCAGCTGAATAACTGCTGAGAGCCAAAGAAATCGAAGACTTGCAGTTTACTGGTGGACTGAAAATAACGCCCAACTCAGACGTACGAGCCCCCGTCTACGCAGATCCTACATGAGATCCAGGCGCAGAGGAGTCGCATCCCGAGAAGCCGAGCAATCCAAAGCAGCATAGCAAATAGAACAAATGGGCCCTTGGGCAGTCGAGCAAAGCTACCTGACTTAACCGCTACCAAAATGGATCACATCGTAAACGTACTCTTCCCACACACGAAAAAAAGGGGGAAAATGATCCAGAACATAGTCTAAGATCTCCGTAAATCCCCCTGTTTACCCTCGAAGAGCTGCAAATAGCCACTGGCTAGCCAAAGGCCAATAAATCACCCGGCCCGGGCGGGTCCCATAAGAAAACATGAAAGTAATCGCTGCAGAGCGACCGGGAGTACTACTGAATATGTACAAAACCTGGCTCGAAGGCGTAATTTTCCATGAGCCTTGGAAAAAGCAACGGCTGGTGCTAATCAGTAAGGGAAAGGGTTATCCCAACTTATTATCAGCATATTGTCCACTATGCATGCTTGATATAACGGGAAAGGTCTGTGAAAGACTACTTAAACCCACACTCAAAGCGGCTATCAACAAAGCTGGAGGGCTCTCGATAGACAACACATCTTTAAACGCGGCAGATCTAAGAGACACTGAAAAAGCGAGAAGAAAGCAAAATCTGGTTATGATCCAGACGCAAGCATGGCTCGACTTACACAACCTCCAGCTCGCTAGGGAAAAAACAGTGCTTCTAATGCTAACAAGTAAGCCGGAAAGGCGGCAAAAGATCAACTCCTAACTGAGCAGACCAATGGCCAACATTGGAGGCCGCAGCCAATAAAAGAGAAGGCTCCTAATATCATCCTATTATACGGAGCTGAGATCTGGGCAGATGTGCTTAGTAAGAAAAACAGGCGCAAGGTAGTGGCCAAAAAGAATCGTATGTTGCGTCCAACCACTACAACAATGAAGATAAAGTTCTCATAGCATATCGCCACCTGAAATGCAAAATAACGTATCATCAAAAAAATTTGAAATTGTGTGTCTTATTGGTTACGCTTCACTACTTCAAATTGCATTCATAATATTACATATGTTCAACATTTTCAGGTTCTGCGCTCAGATATAATCCAGTTTTAACCAATTTTAAAAATTTTTCTTCACTCATGTTCCATTTTATTACGTGTTTCACTCATGCTACTGTAAATTTCCGAAAATGTTGTTACGTTATTTTGCATTTCAGGTGACGATATGGAACCAAAAAATGTGTTTACATTCTTAAACTGTTGATTAATTAAAGTTTGGAGCGATTAAAACGATGGCGCTTCGATTTTCTTTTTATTAGAATCCATTATTTTTAGAAAATAAATCTGTTATGGCGGTTCTCTCTTCCTTATAAACCGTTACTTTCAGCAACCTAGCAGAAATCTAGCCGTTCTGGCAGCAATTTAGCGATCTTCTAACGAGATTTGGCTTGAAATTTAATTTCAGCTAACTAAATTGGACAAAATGTATTATTTTTATAGTTATAAGTAAAAAAAATGGATAAAAGATTTTAAATGAAACTCAAAAAGTGAAGTTAGGCGCAATAATCTAAGAGTGTAAAGTGATGGTTCTTTAAGTGTAAAGGTGTGTAGAAAGCTGTAGAAAAATTTAATCGATCCTTTTTCTTTTTAAGACTTCCAGCTAAGCTTAGTAGTTCTGTTAGTGTGATCCACACTGTTAAAAATTACATTTTTAAAGAGTTGTGTTTAAGTATGTATTTAATATTTTAATGTATTTTTGTATTTTTTTTTTTTGGTTTTTTTTTTTTTTTTTTTTCAATTATTTTTTTTCGTTTTTCACTTTTTTTTTTTTAGTGTAATTTTATTACTATAATTGTGACATTGAAAAGTTTTAATTATAAAAAGCATGCTTTTAGGCGCAGCTATTATTTACTGACTTGAAAGCTTTATTCTTGGTTTTGTATATATATTGAATATGCTAGTGGTTTTTGTTTTTCATTTTCCATCTGTTGTCATAAAGCTTCGCATGCAACGCTCATTAGCTTATTAACTAGTCTCCAAGTATTTTTGTTCGTGTAAAAATATGCAAATATTGTTTTAGCAAAGTAATTTTAGCTGTACACTTACATACGCATGTATGTGAGCATTTAAGTATGTATGTATGTATATATATATATATGTACATATATTTTTTATTTCAATTATTTTACGCTTAATAGGCATTTCAAAAAGTGGACGCTGATTGCATTTGTGGCATTTTTAGGCTTTAATTATGCTTGCACACACACACATATACAAATTGATTATTTGTATGTATGTATGTGTATGTGTGCAGCTTGTTATAAATATTTTGTTTATCGTAGACAGACATATTTTCATGTACGACGGTGAGCTGTTGTGACGGTAACGGTGCAAGTGACGGTGCTTTTCAGTTTAGTTTTATAGCATTTATTGTGTGGTATTAAATTTTTTTCGAAAATAGTTAATTTTTA